GTCTGAATCATGAAGTGGTTCAGGAAGATTTGCTTCAGCTTGTCGAAGGAATCGACCGTCCCTGGCTCCAAACGGTAGAACCAATTCAGAGCCGCCTTTGTGAGCGAAGAGGGGAACAGTAGGCACAGTCCTTCGTCGCTGAGCCCTCGACACCCTACAGCCGATTGGAAAGAGTGGAGGTGCGTCAGGGGGTCCTCCACTCCTGTATAAGGGGTTATGCGTAGGGGCTGTACGTCCCTATCCTGCCGTGAGTGCCTTATGCGTTCGGTGAAGGGCCCTGGACGAAGCCTTCCCCAGTCTGGCTCCTGTGCACGAGTCTGATCATCTTCCATCTTCTGCACCCTCTGCAGGAGGAGGCGAATGACAGGGTCCCTGTCCGGTATCTCCTCTGCAATCTGGTGTACCGATCGCTGCTGGGACCTGACTGGATTGACCTCAGATAACTTCGTCGTGGTTGCCGAACGGTAGGAAGATGACTGATTCATGGAAGGGATGTACTCTTGGTCAGACTCTTCCGTGGACTCCAGGACTAGTATCCTTCGGATTGGAGACTTCCTTCCCAGGCCCCTCAGTCGGGGATCGTCTAGGTGTGCATTGATCCTGATCGGCGATTCCTGCCGTTCGATATGTCGTTCGGCTTCCTGCTCCAACAACCTATGGCGACAATCGGAATAGACCTTCTTCGGCATGTGGGGCCTATTTTTCGGTGCCGGGACCACCAATTGTTTAGACGGCGCAGGCGCAGGCGTTGCCTTTGCCGCCCTCTTGCCCTTCTTCTGCCGGCGAGGGGTCTGTAGACTCTCCGACGATCGATCTGTTTGAATGTTCTGCGTCTGTTGTTGGTTCAACAGTTGTTGCGTTTCCTCCACTCTGGTCGAGAGGAGATTGTTGTGTTCTTGCATCCTTGCCATGTCCTGCCGAAGGGACACGACTTGGGCTAAAAGCTCCGCGTTCTCAGCAGCTTGGATCGCAGGGGGATTAGTTACCGGTGTGTATAGGGCTGGCGCAGGGCTTACCCCACTTGGCATGCCGAACGGCATCCCCTCCCGCGGTACGAACGCAGTTTTTTCAGTGGTCCCCATATGTTCGGGATAAAGGGTCGATTTGTTTAATCGTTTCCCACAGACGGCGCCAAACTGTTGACGCCAAAAAGTGGTTCTCTGACTTTGAGGGTCAACTTAGTAATTTTATGCCTTCGGTATCCTTGATGCCTCGGTAGCAAACGTGATCTGCAATACGAGTAAACGCACGGTAAGTCCTTAGGCACCGGTGTGGTACCGGCCGAAGGCTCTCCGATGCTTAAGTAAGTTCGGGGATAGAAAGTTCAACTGACAAATCAATAGGCTTGTATGCCGTAAGTTCTAATTACCTCCATTTTGGGATAGTTGGCCCCCTTTTATAGGTCTTGGGAGGTGTGCATTTGTTGATAATTTCGATGTAGGACTGTGGACGTCGCTTGGGAGCGTGCCATGTGTCCCAGGAGAGGGTGTTGCCCTAATGGAGTGATCGGTAGGTAGAGTGCCGAGGGCGCCTCTGACCAAACCCAATTTCCTCCACGTGTCTTGCTCTTATTGGCTGTTTATTTTGGGTGTAAACAAAACACAAACAAGCACTCAGCACAGGAAAGAGCCTTTGAAAATATAGAACTTATTAAAGAAGATTAGCCTCGCTATAATATATTCAATTGTGTTAATTGCTGTATCTACCCAATTTTGAGACAATTCAAATGGGAACAAAAAAACCACCTATTTGTGCCTGATAAATCACGGCCATAAGCTGGCCGAAGGAGCCCCTTCTCTCGGCCCTGGCACTTGTTCGTAAAAACTGAAACGCAGCGTTTCGCCAGGGTACTTCGCCTTCCTAAAGACAAAAGAAGAAATGCTAAGGCATGATCATCTCGGCCTCAAGCGCAGGCC